GCCCTTTTTTTTTTTTTTTTTTTTTTTTTTTGGGAGATGCCTCCAGTTAAAAGAATTGAGACTGTCCATCATAACTGACAGAAAACATCCCCTTAAAATTTCAGCTTTCTAGCTTCTCCCGATTTAACAATTTACACGCTGAAAATTTTCACGGGACTGTACGTTAGAACCACGTGGACATAAACGTCCATTTTAGGGGTACAAGCTCGAAAATTTGGTTGCCAAAGTTTCAGCCTCGTAGCTTTTGTAGGTCTCAAAATGAAAAATCTTTACAGAAGCATATACAGACACGCAAATGCAGACACACACACACACCTAGACAATCTGTCGAAAGTATGCTTTTTAGCACTGTATAGATGCAAAAAAAACGCGTAAAAATATATTAAGAAATCAAATAAGCAGGAATATTTCGGCCCATTAAGTTGTATGGATAGATTCGTTCAGTACATTTGGCTGGTAACTCATCGCAGTCAAGGAGTGGAAGTGTTTGAGACGAAGAAGCCCAGATTTTTGAAAATCTGACTGAACGCTTCTCACGGGAGAACCATTGAGCTGGTTCAGCTCTTCAGCAGACAAAACAAGCACGTTGTCTGCCAGGCGATGCAGTTTTCGTTACAACTGGAAAAGATGCTAATCGCGTTACTAAAGAAATAGACCGAGAGCTGATCGATATATTACAATTATCTTCGATTATCTTTTTTTGAAAATGCTAGAAGAAAAAACTCAAATTCTGAAACAACAAAAAATTTTTTTCTTTTTTCTCCATTTAACCGCCATTTAGGCATTTTCTCCAACGGTGAATGTAGTTTCTTAGTGCTTCAACGAATTTTTGTATAAATCCTTTAAAACTCAAGTTTGTTGTAAGGGGAAATGTCGTAATGTAGGTGCTAGTTTACAAATGCCTTGATTTCAGGTGAAGCCGTATCAGTTCTTCAAGGATGTTGGTGATATTAATGCTCCACAGACAGCAAAGAACGATTCGCCTGGAGCCGGAAATTATCCAGAAACGGATGCCGAAACAGCCAAAGATAAAACGTTGAAATATGTTGCTGCTGTACTTACGAAAGTGCATCGCGTATTTTATGAACTGTACGATGAGACAAAAGTAGACTCGTTGCCGGTACGTTGTTTTTGGGGCAGAAAGCGTTTTTATACAAATTTTATTCATCCGTGCAGGGCCTTTACCGTTGGTTTGGACAAAACAAAAGTAAAAATTCTTGTGTGATGGGGTTGTTTTATGTGCGTGGATCGCTGTGTGGCGTGGTGCTCTGAGCGTACGCACACTG